AAATTAAACTTTTAAGCCGAAAAAATGGGAAAAACCACTATTTTGAGGCCGTATCGGCCTGATTAAAAAGCCTAAGGGCCATTACATTATTGAGCTCGAGGGATCGCCCTTGCTTAACGAAAAACTAAGGGTTTTTACCACTCCGAGTTCGAGCAAGGACTCGCTCGATTATAGAAATTATAATAATTCGATTTTAACGAAATCTTCACGAGGCAACATAGTGAGTTAAATTCCTCACAAGGCCTAAAGTATATCAGAATTATCATAAAGCGAAAACAAAACAAAGTTTTCAAAACAAAGATCAGAAACAAATCGGAAAGAAAAAGGATCTTTCATATATACGAGAGTATTTACAAAGACCACTCAGGGTCTTACACGAAAAACCAAAAAGAAGAAAAAAGTTCTAAGTGCCTAATCTCCCACGGGAGCTTCATCTTCATCTTCTCCTCTATCAGACCCGCTCGCACTCCCGGAGTCATCATCATCAGAGAGCAAAGCTTCGGCTTCGGCTTCTAGCACTTTCGCATCCTCGATATCAGCCGTGAGGTCAAAGCCACGAGCGTGAATCTCCTCGAGGGTCTCTCTCCAAGACTGGCGCTTAGCATGATCGGCAACGCAGGATAATCGAACCTCAATGGTGTTGGAAATTTCCTTTGCTCGAGCGTTAGCGGCTTCATCATCGGCTCGGTAGACGGCCACGACCGCCTCTGCCTCGGCCTTCACTTTCTCCGCCTCGGATGTCGATTTTGCAAGCTCAGCGGCCAACCGAGTCTCGAGATCTTCAATTTTCTTGGCTCGGGTCGGGATATCCTCCTTCATGCTTTGGAGTTGACGTTCAACCGAAGACAACTGGGCTCGGGCCGTATCTTTCTTCGAGGCGAGGCGGTCCATGTTCTGCTTCCACCCTAAAGTCTCTGCCTCTTTTATCTCTGCCTCCTCGTGAGGCTGCTCGATTTTCTCGGCCTTCTACTGAACCTGCAAGATCTAAGTGTTAATCACCAATATCAAATTGATATGTCAAGCTCCTAAAAATTTACATTACCTATTCGACGAGATCGGTCTGCTTTTTATGGGTTGTTGCCAATTCTGCTTGGAGGTCTTTGATCTCCTCTTCTTTTTACACATAGAGGCGTTTAAGGGTGTCTCTCTCCTTCGTGAGCCTTTTGAGATCGGCCTCACATCGGTTCAGCTCGGCTTGGGATTTGGAAAATGCTTCCCGATGAAGCGCCAAACCCTGTGGAAAAAGGGAGGAAATCACACAAAAGGAAATAAAAACAAACATAAACCTAATAACTAGAGCTGAATTTACCTGGTTCAGGAGTTGCTGAGCCTCATAAAAAATGATCGTTGCATCCAGGTCGGAAAAGTCATCGACCCCCGTGAAGCAGCCACAAAATCTATTATCTCCTTCGTGGGCAGTTCCTGCATCGGGGGTCTCCATAGACCGAGCCTCCCAAAATTTCCCTTCAGAAAATGTGGGGCCGAGCGGCGAATCATCAATATTGATTGCCCCAAGCAATTCACTTGGGGCACTCTCTCCCTTTTGAAGGGCCTCGAAACCGGACCCTTCTGGCACACTCGCCGGTTGTTCGTCATGGCAGGAGACATCTTCGGCCTCCAATAACTCGAGGACTTTGCTTGGACCATCTTCCGAGATCTCCTCGGTCCGAGGATGAGCCTCCCGACCATCACTAGATTGGCTGCTTTTGAAGCTTCGACGCTTCCCCTCTTTCGAGCCACTAGCTCACAGTCAAAATCTTTCCCCTCCTCTTCTTCATCTCCTAGATTTTGGGCAACATCAGCAGACAAAGTGGCAGACTCATTCTTCGACTTACGAGTCTTGCTCTTCTTAGGCTTTGGAGCATCTGAAGGTGAGACCCTTCTCCTCTTCTTATCCTTAGGCGATTTCGGGGCCTTCTCCTCCCCAGGCGGGGCCGACCTCATTTCGGAAACATCCCCGAGACCTTCATAAAAGAAAATCATGTGAAAATAAGAAAGACACATTTCACAGAAAGGCATCAAACACGATAGAGAAGTTTGCCGTGGTTTTTGGCCTCCCATCGGCCCTTGGCCAAATCACGCCAACAGCGCTCGGAGTATGAAGAAGTCGAGGCCAGCTTTCGAACCCAGCCTTCAAGGTCCGGGATTGCATCGGGCACCCAAGCAACCGTTGTATCATAGGAAAGGATGTCAGTGCGAAAAGACAAAAGAAACAAAACGGTAGACGAAAGTTGTAGGTAAATTCGCGCTTACGCTTCAAGTTCCACTCTTTAGGGAATGACATCTTCTCGGCCGAAATTATGTCGGAAGTCCTCACTCGGACAAACCGGCTCATCCATCTTCGGTCCTTGTCCTCATCTATGCTCGAGAACATCATCTTGGTGGCCCGGCTATGAAGCCTTATCAACCCTCCCCAATAGAGATGGGGGTTGTACATTCTAATAAGGTGGTCGAGGGTAAAAGGCATCCCCTCGACTTGGCTCACGAAGAATCGGAGCAAAATAACAATGCCCCAGAAGGAAGGATGAATCTGACCCAAGGTTATTTGGTATTGGCGGCAGAAATCAAGGATAACGGGGTCAACAGGACCCAACGTAAAAGGGTACGTGTAAACGCTCAAGAACCCTTTCACGTTAGTGGTGATGTCCTCTTCAGGGTTCGGGATCACCACCTCTTTGCCTTCCCAATGGCAATCCTTTTTTACTTGCTTTAGGTCGCCCTCGATTATCGAGCATATATATCTCGACATCGGCTCGCATCGGCTAGGGACAGACGAGGTTTTCTCGATCTTGAAATCAGAGGTAAGATCGCACGACTCCAGAACGCACTCCTCAATGCGTGGCTCCACCGTTCGGCCTCGATGAAGAAGCCTTTTCCTTTTGTGGGACGGTTTTGGAGGTTTTGCTATTAATTCAGGTAGAAGGAAGTGGAAAGAGGTGAAACTTGGTATTCTTGATACTAGCAAAGTTGACTCAACGGTTGGTGAAAGAGAAGAGATGGAGAGAGTAAGAAACTTAGAAAACTTGGTGGAGGTAAAAGTAAAATTTTGATTCAACCAAAGAGCCTATATTCATAGATTTACGGCGACGGTTCGGTGGTGCTAGTAGTCGACCGTCCACTGGCAAGCATTAATAGTTTGGGGAACTGTACCGACGAGACATTTCGGTCACTTACGTCACGGAGATGACATCATTATTGGGGTCTCCAAAAAATCGAGGCTCAAGTCGTATTTTATCATTTTACTCTAAGAAACGAGGAGACTATCTGTATACGATAGAAATCGGGGCTACCCGATTTCATCCTTTGCTCGAGATGGGAATGTCGCGTCAAGGAGCTAGGACGTCGAGTCCAGAATCGAAGCCTCTTTTCGGACCAAGGTCAACGTCAATCACGGCTAGAAAGAGACAGACTCTGAGTGATATCGGTATAGCTTGATAACGGAAAAGGCGAGATATCCGCGATTGGTCGAGGATCGTGGCGTAAATCTCGAAACTGATCAATCCACGGCGGTTAATCAGATGTTAACATGATTTCCTACTATAATTGAAAGTGTACCTTATTTAGGACTCCTCTATTATATAAAGAGGGATCCCATACATTTGTAATCATCATTGTTCACTAAGAAGAATATATACACTCGTTATTTTCCTGCTATTTCACTTACTGTTCATCAAAGTTGCTTTATCATTTACTGTTCTTACTATTCCACCTCGAGACTATCCCGAGTCGAGGTCGAGACCTGGCTAGTACTGGTTTGGTTTATTTTATTCTCTAATTTATTCATTTTTTTTCTTGCTTATCAATTGGTATTGGACAAAATCACATACCCTTAAAACCACAATATAAGTTTAATTGTTATCCGAAGTTGAGGGTAAACAATATCAGAAATTCAAATTCTAAGTTTGGTAATAAAAAAACTATTTTCCAATCTGGCTCTAGGACAATTTTTTTATTAAAAAAAGAAGAAGAGAAAATAAGTACATAAAATATCATGATTTGGGGTTTGTGTCGGTGTGGCTATGTCACAATTTCTCAAAGCCAAAAATGAGGTGTAAAGCTAGAGAAAAAGCCTTGTAATAAAAAGAAATACCCAACCCTAGTGATATTATAGTCTTACCTAATCCTCTCGTCTTGTTTCTGGCATTTAGCAAAATCACAAAAATTTGTTGAGTATGATGGAATATTATCTCCAAGAAACAAAAAATAAGTACTGTACTTACTGTAGTACTTACTACTTTTTTAATGCATCTATATATTTGTTTTTCTGCTTTTGTATTTTAATAAGTTTAGAGCTTTCCATATGTTTCCTTATTCATGCTAATTTTCATCCACTTGGTCACTTGGAAAACTTTTCAAATTTTAGAGAAGTTGGACTTACAGAGCAATTTGTCAATTTTGTTTAAAGAGTATTGCATAACCAAATATATTATCTTGTTGTCGGTAAGGCTTCTTTTTAATTATGACTTTTTCCCTAGCGTATTTCTTTTTAACACTGCTATGAGTGTGCTTTGTTTGAGCCAAGGGTGTGTCGGAAACAACTTTTACACCTTCGCAATGTAGGAGTAAGACTGTGTATACACTATCTTCTCCGGACCCCACTTATAGAATTACACTGGAATTTTTGTCGTTGTATTGCATAACCAAATTGAAGCAAGTTTAAATTAGGAAGTGTTACGCTGAGACTTTCTTTCACATCTTGTTTTCTAGGCATAAATATTAAAATGGAACTAATCTGATTATTTCTAATCACTAAATAGATTCCTTCAATTAGAGATATTAATTTACATTAATTAATCACTTAAACTCACTCTTGCAGATGTATAGTATATTGTGAATAAATCATGGAAATCTTTGGTTAGTTGGAACAATGGATTGTTTATTTGTTTCTATATCTTTATCATAATGATCACAAGAAGGACAAAATTAGTATGAGCTGTTTCTTATAATTAAGTCAAAATAGTAGTTCTCAATTGGATAAAAACAAAAATCAAACTTACTTAAAGTTTAAATTGGAAAAGAAAGCTGTTTCGAAGCCTTGCTCCTTCATCTGGTATTTCTGGAAATTTTTGGATGAAGATATGAAGGAAGGAAGTTGGTGATAGTTAGAGAATTCGAAGGTAGAAGCTTGATCGGAAAGTGAAAAAAATAGGGGATAGAAGCTTTTATAGGGGAAGTGCGCGGCGCTTCGCATTTGGAGGTAACCAGCCGATGATTGACACGTGTCCGAAGTCAGAGCGACGCAACTGATGGGATGTTTCGACTTCTTTGTAGTTTCGATTGTAATGTACGAAGGAAGGAACCAAAGAACATCTATCGTTTCCCATCGTTTCGGCAAACCTACTGTGAACACCTAATTTTTGCATTATTTTAACACCTCCTAAAGTCATTAGTGTTTTGATATTTTAATTGTTTTTCTCAATTTTTGTGTCTTTATTTGCATATTTCCTATCATAAAAAATACCAAAAAATAGTTCTTTTTTCATTTGTGCATTTTAAGAATTAACTAACTATTCAATTGGTGAATTAATCTAGTTAAATTGATTATTTGAATAAGTTATTTAATTAATTTATGTGTTTGTGTAAATTTAGTTTATTAAGTAGGATTAAGGCAGAAATGGGCCAAATTTGAAAGAGAAATGTGGCCAAGAGTGCAAGACAAGGGACTGTCATGGAAGAATTTAAAACGACGTTGTTTCAACACAAAACTACGTCGTTTTGGTTAAGTAAATAGAAATCCGCCATAGCCATTCATGATACCCCCAAAATTTCACCATGTAATCTCCAACACCTTCTCTTTCCATATCTTCAAACCAAATCCTTCAAAAACCCCTTAAAACTCCGTGAATTTTAGATCTAGAAAAGCCCTGGGCCATTTTTTCCACAAATTCGGGATGATTAAGCCCTTCTTTCCACCTAATTTTCACATAAATGGGTATAACTCGATGGGGCTACTATTTGGCATTGGTTTCGTGCCAAAAATCCGGCGATCGGATTCCGGCAACCACCACTGACCGCCCAACACCGCCGCTGCCCGCCACCTCTTCCGCCGTCACTGCCACCACCTCACTGCCGGAAACCACCACCAGCCCACTGACCCCTCTATTATTATCTTTTTTAGCCTAGTTTCGACCCAAGAACATTAGTTTCCTCTTGGTATGATGCTGGGTTCATTGAGTTCAGCGTATTCCAAAAGGAAACGAACGTTCCAAGGTCGAAAAGCTACCTTTTGGCGTCCTCAGCATCGTCTCGTTGCTCGATTCGACGTCGGATGTCCCGGAGCTTGGTATAAACCTCGAACCCTTATCGTTTCCTCTAAAGTTTTCATTTTTCTGTTTCTGTGTCATTTGTTTGTAGTTTTGTTGTAGATTAAATTCTGTTTATATTGTTTTTATTCAACGTTCATGTTTAGTCTAATTTCTGATTTTTGTTGTTGTTCAAGTTAGTCAATTTTGATGGAATATGCCACTGTTAATACAGGTTTTGCCTAATCGTCATGTTTTGTTTCCGTCTCTGATTATTAGTATTGGTAGTCGCTTTATGGAATCTTAAATCTGTCATTCCATGCTTCTTTAATTTTGATTTTGATAGTTCTTAGAATTAAACTTAGACTCAGTTTGCCTATGTTAGTATGGTTTGATTTTGGTGATGATGCTTAGTCGCTCGTTAGGCTTGAATCACCTACTGGATTGTAGTTTTGAGTTGTTTTCTTGTGATGTCATGTTTTAGTTTGAGTTAATAGTTTGTGCGTTTAAAGATTTAGTGTTAATCCTAATTAACTAGATTAAACTTGAAGTAGTTGTTTAGTATAGGTAATTATATGGTTCAGTCTTGTTTAATTCCTACTAGTTGACTCTTAACTAATCTTATTCGAATTACTAACTGTTTGAACTAGATTGAATCTGGTTTCTCTTTGTGGACTAGTTAGCTTTGAATTTGGTTTGAGAAATTAAGAGGAAAGGGAAAGAAAAGAGAATACTTGAGTGTAGGGTCCTTTGTTTGGTTGCTTTTACTGTTGCGGACTATTTTGGAGTGCAATACTCCAAAATTCTGTCCACAATTGGTAAGAAAAACTGTTCATTCACCAAAATTCTGGTTTTGGACAGATTTTTGGTCAAAAAAATCCATCATTTTTGGATAGATTTTTGGCTAAACCAAATCTGTCCCAAAGTCCTTTCTTCTCCTATATAAAGAGGAGTCGAACACACACATCTGGACACACTTTGATAACATCTGGAGAGTTGCTTGAACACAATTGAAAAAGACATCTTTTATACACTAAAAAGACACAACTTTGAGAGTAAAAATAGGATCTAAACACTTAGTAGTAAGTTGAAAGTGGTGAGCTTTTGTGAGTGAATTCTCTGTGAGCAAGACCTTTCAAAAGCATAAGAGTGTTGAAGTCGATTGCTGGGATCCTTTCTTCTTTTAAAGTTACTAAGTTTAAGGGTCTTTTCTGGGTTGTTTCTCGGGTTAAAAGTTGCTGATTTGCTGCTGGTTGTTGCTGTTTTTGGCTGTCTTTTGTTCTGGAATTTCACTTCATTCTGCTGTATTTTGGTGTTTTCTACATTTCAGGTAATGCTTCATCCTTTGTACTAGCAATCAGTGAAGGTTTGAGCATGTTTATATTATTTGAGCATCTTTAAAGGAGTTTGCTAGAAGTTTCAGTTTTCAATCCGGCTTGAGGATCATAGTGTTAAATCCATGACTTTGCTGCTCTGTTTTTCCTATGTAGTATTTTTTTTTCCCCATCTTTTGAGTAGTATTTCAATATAATCTTGGCAATATTTTAGAAAAGGAAATAGTATGTTAAAGATTTAATGAAGACTTTGGAGTGGACAGAAGCTATGGAGTTTGTGGAAAAGAGTCTTGTTTGGCTTAAGATCTCTGCCATTTTGCTTGCTGGAAGTTGGAATTAATATCATCAAAGGATCACATAATGATCTAGTTTTATTATTCCCCTATTGTAGCAATGTTGTTTTGGCTTTAGTTGATTTCTCGTTACCCTATTGTTCGTTCTAGATTTCATGTTTCTTTTACTAGTCCCCTTTAGTACTACTTTAGTTGGCGAAAGCTGAAATTTTTCTTTTTTTCAAGTCACATGGAAATAGTACGGGCTGTTTGTGCAGTTGTTAAGCTATTGGCTCATATCAGCTAACGAGTTACATTTGTGTTTAACTAGAATTGGCCCCAACAGCTTACTTCATAATAAGTTGATCCATTTCTTTTATCAAGAAGTCGGCCCATTTCTTTAAAATGGATAGAGCTGGTCCATTATTAAGTTGTCATGTTCTCCCATAATAATAAATCTAAAATCAGATTTTTTTTTGAACTATTTTAATAGTTTAGACACTCTTAAATAATTTGAGCGCTAAGTATATTGGCAAGAACATGTGCACATAATTTATTTATTTATTTTGTTTTGTTTATACTAATTTCATTCTTTTAATTAATAATAATGATAATAAGAATAAAGTTATAAGGTCCAATATCAATAATATTCATATGTTGTCCTACCACCATTAACTTATAAAGAAATATTTTCTTTTCATAATAGAGATGAACAATCCTTTTTTTCATAATCTATTAGCCCTATAGTAATTCGTCTTAATTAAGTTAAATAATTTCGTCTTAACCGATGTCGCGAAGACTTGCTTCGGAATAAAGACATAAATAAAATGGCAAGGTCGTGAGGACATCTTGTTCCAATTCCTTCAAGTAAATAAAAGTTTATTATTTAATTAACTTTGAGTAGACTCCAATTTTGGGTACGACGCACGACCTAAGATTATCGTCTTGGTTAGTGTAAGCTAGGGTCGGGGATACTCGTCCTAGTTTGAGATTGATAAAGTCATCAACAATAGTGGATATAGGCAAACATGAAAAATCAAATAAAGCATAGTTTATCTAAAAATTAATTTAAAGCCAAATGTAGTCAATAAAGCGACCGTGCTAGAACCACGGGACTCGGGGAATGCCTTACACCTTCTCTCCGGTCAACAGAATTCCTTACCCAGACTTTATTTTCGCAGACCAATAATGATAGAGTCAAATCTTCCTTTGACTAGGGATTCAAATAAAAGGTGACTTGGAACACCCAAAATCAATTTCAAGTGGCGACTCTGTAAATAAAATAATCCCTACTCAAATTTTTTACTTTAATTGGAAAAACTCTTTAACCCACAATCCATAACACAAACACACTTATATTTCTTTTTGGGGGGTGGGAAAAAGGGGTGTGACACCTACTCTCTGAGAAACGAGGGGATTATCTGTATACGGGTATAACCGATGCTAATGAGCACTTCGATTTCCCGGTGAGGCAAACGAAGCAAGGACGTAACTACAAGGAATCGAAATTGAAGCTAGGAGCCTCTCGTATTAGGTCCGAACAAAACACATGCCCTCGGAGCCATCGAGACCACGCCCCCCGATCCGGTTCGAGTTCCAAGACCTTGGAAAGCATTAACAAACGTCTGCGGACGATTAACAAAGGGCTGTGATATCCGTGCCCGTCCAGATATCATGACGTGAATCTAATAGCCCGTTTGGCCAAGCTGCAAAAATCAGCTTATTTTGAGAAGTGCTTTTTTTCAAAAGTGCTTTTCTCAAAAGTACTTTTGGTGAGAAGCAGTTTGTGTTTGGCTAATTAGTTTGAAAAGCACTTCTGAGCAGCAACTAGTGTTTGGCCAAGCTTTAAAAAACTGCTTCTAAGTGTATTTTTCTCAAAAGTGCTTCTCAAAAAAGTGCTTTTGGAGAGAAGCTACTTTTTTCTGCTTCTCCAAAACTGCTTTCGTTTCTCCTCAAAAGCACTTTTTTTCCTTCCAAAAGCTTGGCCAAACACCTCATTTTTGGCCAAAAGTGCTTTTGGCCCCAAAAAAGCACTTTTGGCCAAAAAGAAGCTTGGCATAAGCCCGTATCGACAGCGGATCAATGATTAGAGAAAAGGAAGACTTTTACCTTCTTAGAATTGTACTTAGGGTAAAACTCTCCTACTATATAAAGGGGAAGTTTATTATTCAATAAACACACCGTAACACGCATATCAAGGCAATATAAACTTGTTTTCTCTGTTTCTAAGCTATTCAGAGGTTTTTATTCTTGTTCATAACTTTTCATATATATTTTTGGCTACGAATCGAAGGTAGTTAAATTGTTAAGCCCACAACCGAGCCCAGATTCAATACTACTGCTGGTTTGGCTATTTATTTTATCTTACATTTGCTTATCTAACATTATTAATCACTTGTGTCGGATTAGTCCATATATCCTTTAAACCGCATATAAATTCAATTATTATTCATTTAAGGGTAAACAAAAATACATACAAAATCTATCTATATTCTATATATTATATTAAAAGCACGAAGCCCCTTAGCGAAATGTCGTTCGCCTTTTTTACCCTTTTAAAATAGTATTCACACCAGACAAAATAGTCATTTGATTATTTTGCTAGCTAATATTTAGGACTTTAAATTAAACCAAATTTATTACTTATTAAATCTTTCCTTATTTGAATCAAGTAATAAGTCATTATAATTAGGACTTTAAAATCATTAAAATTTTACCGTNTAAAAATAAACCTAACTAAAAATAAAATATTTAAGGTACCTAACAATCTGAAAATATAGTTATCAAAGTTGAAGTTGGTCGATGATAACGCCAAACTATACCTTATAAAAAGACACGCGGACGTTGCAAATATAATCTGAGTATTTATGCCCAGAGTCGAACCACAGGGAATTAACCCACCAATTACTTTTGTTGGAATTACTAAATTCAACAGAATCAATTTCCCCCAAACGTTGTGATTAACAGTTGATGCTATTTCTAACAACTAAAACTCAAAATAAATAAACAGCTGGAAATTAACTATGCTTGATGTGTAAACAATTGGAATAAGGTCTAAGGTAATGGTTTCCCCCGTTGTTGATTTCCTTGGTTGTATATTTCTTATAGCTGTGACTTAGTTGCCTCTATCAATCATGAACTCTCCAGCTATCATAAATCTCTCTCAAGCAATTATGATAATTTACTAGACGCACTCTCTCAAGTTACGCTAGCTAGATTCACATTACAGTTCACTTAGATTGCACCCGAGGTATTGTTATCTCTAATCCAACCTCTAAACCCTCGGTTATGACTCTCGCCTATACTCCGGGAGTGATGTTGTTCAAACAACTACCTAAATATGCAATCTCTCTCAAGCAGATACATAATAAATAGGAACGGCTAATTGAGGATCCTTTCAATTAACCACAATCAAAACGTAGATGAACAAATAGAGATTAACAACCAATTCAAAACTATATTAATATAACAACCAAGTCATCCCCAACGGGTTTCACCAAAACCTTAGATTAAAATATTTAGCTACTCATAACAACGATGAAAACTACAAAAGAATTCATAGTCATTGATAGAAGAACAAAGTAGGGAGATAAAAAAAAATTTCCAAGTTGCCTCCTTGCCTCTCTTGCTTCTTCTCAAAAACTCGAACTCCCTTCTCTCTTGGACTTGTTAAACCTTTTATAGTTTGTGTGGATTTGCTTGGACTTCCGAATTTTCCATTTTTAAAACACCTTCCCCGCATCTGGACTAGCGCGGGCGCGCTAGGGCCGCGCTACTGCCCGCGCTAGTGGGGTTTCATTCTGTTTCGGACTGCTGGACTAGCGCGAGCGCGCTAAGGCCGTGCTAATGCCCGCGCTAGTGGGGTTCTCCACTATCAACGAGCTTTGTTCCCTTTTTCATCAATTAACTCCAATTTTTGCCCGGATCACCATCATAAGTCCTCATTTGATTACTGCACTCCTGTGAAACATAAAAGTCACCATTAGAGCCAATTTTTGCATTATTTACACACTTGCAACAGTAAAGCATTGATGATAGGCTATAATTGCATATTTTAGTCGCTTATTACACTCGAGTTTACTGCACTTTAATTGAGTTTGCGCTTTAATAGCTAGTGTTTTGCACTAACGGTGAGTTTTATGCCTTGTAGGTGTGATTCCGAGCTATATAGATGTTATGGAATGAATTTAAGTGATTTGAAGCTTTGAAGTCTGAGTAAAAACTCAAGGAATTAAGCCGGGATCGTATTCGGGGATCAACGAATGATAAAACAACAAAACGAAGACTCGAGTAGGCATATTGCGCACTTTCTAGTAAAATGCACATAACTTTTTGCTCACAACTCCATTTGGGCTCCACAATATATGGTTGGAAAGCTAATTCAAAGGGCTACAACTTTCATGTTTTATGTTTTTCCAAATTCGGAACGGAACAGGGTGAAAACGCGTGAAGAACGCGCGAAGTCGCGCAAAGTTCGCGCGCTAAAAAGACTGAGGCAGAAAGGTGCGCGAAGACCGCGCGAAGTCGCGCGTCTGATCCGGGAAAAGTGTCCTTTTTCATATTGGAGAAGGTATAGTTGTTTGGGCCTAACCCTACTTGGTATATATACACGGGAGGACGCCACTTTGAGAGGATCGAACATATTTTGGAGGAGAATTCACGTGGAGGAACACACACCTTAGAGGGGACATATTTTGGACATAGATTCGACCTAAGGAGGCAAGAACACATTGGGAGCAAGGCGGAGAATTCTTCTACGAGTTTTTCCTTCCTCTTCCTATTTTTCATTGTTGGTTATGACTTTTAGTATTGTAGTTTTACATACTATTATGAATAGCTAATTTGTTATCTAGAGTTTTGATAGAACCTTTTGTAGGATAAATTCTTGTTATGTTTTTATATAATTGAGCTATAGCTTTTCTCTATTTGTTCAACTGCGTTTATATTGTGGTTGATTGAAGAGCTCTCAATTAGCTGTGCCTATTTAGTATGCATAACTCGGGAGAGAGTGCATATTTAGGTAATTGTTGAACAACACCACTCCCAGAGTATATGAGGGATCAATAACCGAGGGTTTAAAGGTGGGATTAGGGATAACGAAGCCTTGGGTGCGATCTGAAGTGAGCTGTATTAAAAGCCAGCTAGCGTAGCTCGGGAGAGTGCGTCTAGCAAATTGTCGTAATTACTCGGGAGAGATTTACGGTAATAAGAGTGCTCATGATCGGTAGAGAATACTTAGGCGAAATTATAGAAGACATAGCGGGAAGGATTCCGAAAATTGGGGAAATCATAACTCTAGACCTCCTTAATCTTTTCTCTAACCCTCAGTATCGTTAGTTGTTAATTTACTATTTTAATTTGTTAGTTAAGTAGTTAAACACAAGAATCTTAATATCTATAAGTTAGGAATTGTTCAAGCTTGTCTTCTTGGTGATAGTGAACAGCTGTAGCTAAACCTTAGTTCTCTGTGGGATTCGACTCCGGACTTGTAAACCGGATTATATTTGCAGCGACCGCTTAGTCCTTTTTATAAGGCATAGTTGGGCGTGATCAAGCATCCTTAAGTTAGAGCCCGAACGTAGACCAAACTATACAATTTAGCCTATTATCGGTCGACATCTTCACTTATGTAGAGTTAAAAAACTAAACTATTCCTTCCACAAATAATTCTATGTTAATAAATTATATTAACATTTAAATTTTTATGTAATATTTAAAATTTTGAATCCAACTAATTAAATATTTTCACCATAATTTTGATGGAATATAATTTAAGGATCGATGTTCGCGCTAAATTTTTTTCGATAGACAAGTCTAATCTATCTATCTATTGACACAATATATCATATTAATATGAAATATTAACATGAAATGTCGATCAACTTTTATCCTTCATAAGTGACATTCATGTTGAATAGAAATCGTAATTATAATTAATAATCTATTTTTAGTAGAACTAACATTTAAGATTTTAAGGACTTCCATGAGGTAGAGCTTATTTCTTATTGAGTAAATTAAATAGGTCGACATTATTCATCATTTTCATAATTTTACGCATTCTTCTTTTAACTTTATTACATAACTCAAACATAATATTTAAATTAATATTTATATGACTTTTTAAAAGCATTTAATACTTATTGAGATAAGGTACGCGTACTCTAAGACTAGTAAAATAAAAATAGATAAAAGTATCAAAAGTGATGCGCACTTAGTAAGTGTGGTTCTTCAACCAACAAGGAATGTGAAGTTGACTATATTTTGGCGATGTACATATTTGCAATTTTTTTCCTCGAAGAGTTGGAATTCACGAAATTATAACCTCAAGCTGAAGCTGAAGCAAACTGCAAAACTCCCAACTTAAAATTAACTTCAATATTGACAAACTAGATAGATAGGACATAAAAATTATAAATTTCATGAACTTTATGGGTTTTTAATCAAATGTCCCGAGGATGTCGTACAAATCAATTCTTGATACTGAACAATTAATTTCTTGAGAGACAGAAAAAACAAGTGTTAGAACATTAATTATTTAGACAAGGGCAGCGCCCTTAGGTTGGGCCGTTGGGGTCCGGCCATGACCAAAAGAGTTTATATGACACCAGAAATATATTCTTTTTAATTATATAGTAATTAGGACCATACGATAAATGACAAAAAAAAATCATTTGATATTAAATTTCAATTCCAAAAATCATATCTTCTATCAAGATATTTATTAGGAAGCACAGTTGAATGGAAAAGGAATTAAATATTAAATGATCAAATTTATTGACTCCACAGTAGGGGTGTTCAAAACCGAACCGAAATCGAAGCTTAATGGCTTATTGGTAGTGGGTTAATGGTTTAACGGGCGGGGAACGGATTGAAATTTTTTCATTAATGGCTTATCGGTTTGGGGGCGGATTATTTAATTTTCTTAACGGATAATCCGTTAACCTGTTTAGATTTCTGTCGTTTGCCAAAAACGGTCTGTTTAGATTTTATATATATATATATATATATATATAAAATCTAAACAGACCGTTTAAACATTTCTCATGGTTTGAAAAATTTCGGCTTTAACTGTGAATACCAAAAAATGAAAAGGCTTGTATAATCAAATGATATATAGAACTTAAGAGAGCCCTGATTGATTTCTAGTTCGATATAGTTGTCATGTGATGATATTTTTAACACATAAATTAGCCTGTTAAAGCTTCAATAATTGTGGAGTTGGTTGTTGGATATTTCATGAGTGTCTTTTACTGTTGATAAAGAAGTCTAAGTTGCAAATATATTAAAGTATTGATTTTGGGTTTAAGATATTAAATTTAACTATGTAGATCTAGCACCACAACAATTGTCAGACTTGTGCAAAAAATGTGTTACATACACTATATTCCCTAAAAATCCTGGAAGAGGAGTGCTAGCAGCTGGCCTTAGTCTACCTAATACTCCATATCTTTATTAATTTGCCAAGAACAAATATTTTTCTTCGGGATAACTACACTTAAAATATTCTACCAATTTTCTTACTCATCGGGTATTTTTAAACATTTTCTAATAGTTTAGGGGTATTTTGAACCATTTTCCGAAGTTTAAATTGGAAAAGAAACTGTTTCTAAGCCTTGCTCCTTCATCTGGTATTTCTATAAATTTAAAGGGTCTTTGAGCTGTTACAAGTATATTTTTTTGGAGCTTGCTGATTTTTCTCTGCTGATGTTGTCTGAGCTTCATCCTCTGCTTCTAAGCTTTATTTGGTTATTCCATGTCGGTGAATTCATCTCTAGCTGAGTGTTTGTTTAGCAGCAATTAGCGACATGGCTACCTCTTTCAGGGAGGAAAAAGACACATTTGGTCCCGTTCTCGTTCCATCGGACAAGTTATGGGGGGCACAAACTCAAAGATCATTGGAGAATTTTGATATTGGGGGTGAGCGTGAAAGAATGCCTGAGCCAATCATACGTGCATTTGGTATTCTCAAAAAGTGTGCTGCCAAGGTAAACATGGAATATGGCCTTGACCCATGTATTGGAAAAGCAATAATGCAAGCTGCTGAAGAGGTTGCAGGAGGAAAGTTGAATGAGCACTTCCCTTTGGTGGTTTGGCAAACTGGTAGTGGCACTCAAAGTAACATGAACGCTAACGAGGTTATTGCAAACCGAGCAGCTGAAATACTTGGCCATAAGCGCGGTGACAAGCACGTGCATCCAAATGACCATGTTAATAGATGGCAATCTTCAAATGATACCTTTCCTACGGTGATGCATATTGCTGCGGCGATGGAGCTAAATAAAAGATTAGTACCAAACCTGAAACAGTTGCATACTTCACTACATTCAAAGTCAGTCGAATTCAAGGACATTATTAAGATTGGGCGAACCCACACACAAGATGCAACCCCTTTGACTCTTGGACAAGAGTTTAGCGGGTATGCTACTCAAGTGAAATATGGAATTGAGCGAGTCTTGTGCACCCTTCCACACATGTATCAGCTGGCACAAGGAGGCACAACAGTGGGGGCAGGACTGAATACAAAGAAAGGGTTTGACATTAAAATTGCTGCAGCAGTGGCAGAGGAAACGAACTTGCCATTTGTAACAGCTGAAAACAAGTTTGAAGCACTGGCTGCTCATGATGCATTTGTTGAAACCAGTGGAGCTGTAAATACAGTAGCTGCTTCCCTCATGAAGGTTGGGAATGATATACGCTTCTTGGGAAGTGGTCCCCGCTGTGGTCTCGGGGAGCTCATTCTTCCTGAAAATGAACCTGGAAGCAGTATGATGCCGGGCAAGGTGAATCCTACTCAGTGTGAGGCTCTCACGATGGTCTGTGCTCAGGTTATGGGGAATCATGTGGCTGTCACAATTGGTGGATCAAATGGCCATTTTGAGCTGAATGTTTTCAAGCCTATGATTGCTAATGCCCTTCTACATTCAATAAGATTGCTAGGGGATGCATCTGCTTCTTTTGCAAACAACTGTGTGAATGGTATTCAAGCTAACAGAGAGAGGATTGCTAAATCGTTGCACGAGTCGCTCATGCTCGTCACATGTTTGAACCCAAAAATTGGTTACGATAATGCTGCTGCAGTTGCCAAGAAAGCCCACAAGGAGGGAACCAGTTTGAAAGATGCTGCTCTCAATCTAGGAGTCCTCAAATCTGAAGAGTTTGATCAACTTGTAGTTCCTGAGAAAATGATTGCTCCAACTGACTGATTAGTTCTATCAAATGGCTCTAGGTGCACCATATTAATTAGTAACTGTTTTCCTCCATCAGATTTAACGCACTTCTTGAGGTTTTCTCATTCCTTGCAATTTATCACCACTTGACTGGGGGAATGCCTCCATTTTTTGTAATGAGACCCTGAGCTATTGATCTCTCATTACTGATGAGTTCCTTCCGTTACATTAATATTTACATCAATCATACAATTTGCATTTGATAAAGAATCACTTAAATGTACGATATATATATTTGAATAATTATTATTAGTTGTGATATTGAAGAATAATTTATTTCTTTCATATATCTTACTCAGATTGATCCAACAAGGAATAAAACAGCATTAGCTGTTTTTCAGAACAAAGAAGTCAAAAAAGCCAAATATAAATCGAATAACGATCCAAAAAAGATTTAAAATCCTTTCTTTTTTCTTTTAGAATAAAGCAATTTTTTCCCATCTATTTCCTTAAAGTTATCCAAGCTCTATCCACAAACTGGAAAACTTTACGAGAGTCAACATTTAGTTGAAGCTTATTTTGCCCAATATTGACAAAAGAATGGAGAAAATATAAAATCATTGATTTCTTAGTTAGCTTATTTTATCTACTTTATTTGCTTTAAACTCACTACAAGAGAACACACATTTATCTAGCAGCCAAAATCCTAGCTGACTTAGCAAGATCCCTAGCTCATATCGCTTTAACTAGGAAAATGACCTTAGTTAATTCTGTAGCTAATATGCTCTTTGCTAAATATTTTGCTAGAAAGATGTGCTATCCGTAGCTAATTTAGCTACAAATATTTGCTTGGCACTAATCCGTTGCTAAACATTTGCTAGGACATGTAGTAGCTATATTCCAAGCAAAGTTTGTTTGGTCAATGTTGACTTATTGAAGCTTTGCTAGGCTATTAGCTAGGAACTTATTCCTTGCTAATATTTGCTAAGACTAGACTAGCTAAATTCCAAGCAAAGTTTATTTGTTTAGCGTTGATTTTATTAAAACTAGCTAGGAATATCCCTAGCTAAACTTACAAGTATTCTAGCCTTTTCAACGTTTTGCTTGGAATGTTTCCCAAGCTAAATTACTAGCTAAAAATACCAAGGATTTTTTGTCAAGATCATTCTGTAGCTAATTTGATAACTTTTCTAGCCTATATTTGTGTTTGCTTGGGATATTTTCAGGCCGAATCTCACTAGGAATACTTCCTAGATTGCATATGATGAAATACAATTACAATTTCCTACATAATTCGACATAAGACAAAATAAATAATTAGATCCAATAATTTTTCACATAAACATAATTAGAGTATCATTAGTTCTAGAATGACGAAGTATATGTCTATTGGTAAATAAAACATGTCTTAAGTTAACAAATTAATAACATAAACTCTACTGTTCTAAGATATGTTTGGGGAAGAACCAGAGCCATTTGGTGGTGGTTGAGTTAAACCAAGCATCTCACGCACAACAGCACGAGCCGCAACTTTTACTTCTTCTCGCATATCTTCCCGAATACCCGCTTGCATATCTGCCTGCATATTCTCCATCTGCTGATCCAATGCACGATTAAGAAGTTGCTGAAATTCAGGTGATTCAAACACTTGTTGGGTGGGAATATTTGGAGGATTAGGAGCACTAGAGGATGCACAATTAGCCTTCACTGAATGTGCCAGAAGACAAGTTTTTGGACCAAGTCCATATATTCTTCCTTTTTTTTGCTCCTCCAACTGTTTCAATCCAAGTTTTCAGTAGTTGTTCATCTGGTATACTTTTCAATAAATCCACAACATTGTCTTCGCTAGTTTTTTCTCCTTCCTCATCTTCATTTGTTGCCATGTTTTTGTCTATGTCTCCATCATCTATTTCAAAACCTTCTTCATTCCTTGATGTTGAAGTTTCACCTACCTTAATAACCTCTGTAAATGTATTCTGAAAAAAATTATAATTATTAGTTATCACATAGAATATTAAAGTCGCCAAGTAGCAAATCTTAATAGAGCAGTCACATTTGTTCTGTAATGAAAGAAGTGAACAACAGAGAAATAGACTTCTGTAACTAAGAAGTAGATGAAGAAATAGACTTCTCTAATAAGTAAAGAATGAAAAATATGTATAGAAACTATTCATTTAATTGTAGATGGTCATCTAATCAATCTTATTTTCTTGAGGTGCACCAGAGAAGGTGCTATAAAATTGTTGAATGTTTCTCAAATCTAGAGTGTGCAAAGACTTAGAAATTTTTCTTATACATCATAGACAAAAAATAGCAGGGTAAGACTTAAAAAGAGGGTGCTTATGATATTCTACCACGATAGCATCCATGAACAACTCTAACACTACTCCTGGAGATATATTTTTGGGACAGAAGAAAAGAGTCACAATAGCATGTCGGTAGCAGCATAATAATAACGCAAACAATAAGAATACAGAATAGACAAAATTATTTACCATTCAGTTTCAGTTAAACCACTTTATCAGTTTGAAAAGCGTAAAATAAATAAATATATAGACAAGTTTTCGATATTTTAAGTTCCAACAGCTTGAGATGATTTTAAAAAGTATCAAACTGGGAAGAAAAGTGAAGTTTTGCCTTACTTCTTTTCTCAGGTTGTTAATAAGTGTAAAATTATTTTCTTAAGAAAGGCTTATCTTCTCTGACTCTTATTTCAAATACTTCAGAGAGTAGGAAAGTGCTTGTCAATAATTCCTTGTTAAGAGGGTGAGTACTCACTATTTTTAAAGCTTTGGTTTCTATTTTTTCACTTAAATATTTTGTTTGATATTGTTACACTATGCAGTAGTGCACCATCCTGTTGTTGATAATCGTTAGAAAAAAACTAGGAAGGCACAATTTAGTTACTTTTGTAATCTAGTTAGACCATGGACAAAAATTGAAGCACCAGATAGTTTGTCAACAATCTACAAGTACATTAAAACTTTATCATTGTCTTATATTTTCGTAATATATTCATTTTTCTTCAGTAGCTTTATCTGGCTTCAATACTTCAGACAAGTACTCAGTGCACATAAATTTGGTGAAGAAAAAGTAACTATTGAAAATATTAACCCATTTATTTGTATTTGTAATAATTTTTCAATGGTTAAGGAGAATCTTTAAGGAATTACAGTCTAAAAATAGATACACAGTTGTAAATATAAAGACACTTCGTACATCTGAAAACTTAGTACTTTTGATGTTCCCTAATTTCACTTTCCAGTATCCATTGAAGCTATATATGAATGTCATAGAACAGTAATCTGACTACTACAAAAATATGTACAGACAGTTAAGAAAAAGCAGCAATTTTATATGCATCACTCCCTTGTCTCTTTTCGTCAATGCATCTTAATTATCATATTCTATGGATGGAGCTAATCTATGAAGAAAGCTTATCTACTTCATTAGTGTGAAGCAGGTGTTGCAATGAAGAATGAGATAACAATATACCCGCATTCTTTCTGACTTTTCACATATCCACTTTTTGTCATTTTTGGTTTTGTGAGTCTTCAGAAACAGTTCATCATTACGAAGATCTTTCCCCGTTAACTCCTTCTACAATCATTAAATATATTGTTAGTTTGGAGGATAAATCATAAAACAAATTTAGACTAATACTGATAATACTAAAAGATAGAGAAATACATGTCTTCTTCTGTACTCAGCAAATGCAACTGATCCTCCAGTATGCAAGGAAGGACCTTCTCCATTATTAGACGACATTCTGTTCTTGGAGTTGATTGTTGATTTTTTTTATTTTTAAAAGCGTCAGATTCCCAATATTGCATCAAAGCATCCCAGTGAACTTTAGTAATCCATCCGAGCATTTTCTTTGTTTTTGAAAATTGTCTTTTTGCTTTTCCCAAACTGTCACTTAACCTTTCACTCCCCACATGCTCAAAGTCCTTCGAATAAAAACTTTGTCCTCGCTAGTAAAGGAATATTTTTTCTACAATTAGAAAGTAAAGATTATATTTAATATCGTTTATCAAGTTAAGTCAATTAGTACAGTTAAGTACAAACACCTCGAAGTCATTAAAACCATCTGTCTCGTACATGCTCCGGAACTTTGCTCCAACAATTCCATGATCCACTGAAGCTTTTCTTAAAGGCTATTGTTACATCCCGAACAGCTTCATGTGGGCAGAATCTACAAAATAATCAATATAACATTTTATTCAAAGATTATTAAATACAAATATATTTTACCACAACTTATATAATTAGATTCACTTACGTATCTCCGTTTACTTTCAAGGATCTTATGCCACAAATAGTAACTCATCTTATCTGTGGATTACTACTTCCATAAGATGCAAGTGTTTGTTCAGTTGAAACATCTTGAGGAGTTTCTTGTTGAGGACCAACATTCTGAGAAGAAGGAGGTGCTTGTTGACGACCAATATTCAAAGAAGCAGAATTTGTTGGTTGATTAGGGACATTTTGAGACGTATGTGCAAGCTGCCAAAAACTACTTTCGTGAGACGAGTCGATGTGTTGGCTTGAACTTACCTGTTGAGATGTAGGGGTTGATGGTTCACTAATATCTGCCTGAGAAGTGTTCGGTAGCTGTTGGTAGCCTCCTCCCCCTTTATTAGATATGCTCCCACGACCTCCCCAACTACGTTTAGTGCCTCTTCCTCTTGTCATATTTCCTGATCAAAATTAACAAGAAGAGTAGAATAATACACCAACCAACCAGAAGAAGTGAAATATGAACAAATTTGACCAACCAATTATTTTGAGCATAATATAAACTCTAATTTATGACTAATTTTAATTCATGACTGCTAGGCAATATTAAGAAACTCCAACCAACCCATCCAGCTTAGTCACTCTTATAGCAGATGGAATAATTGGATAATTGCATTTAGAGGAGTGCTAAATGACCAAATTTACTTTGACTCCTAATATTATTTAGGGACACATTTCTTTAATACAATAAATATTATGACTTCCTATCAAGTTAAGTTTGAGAATACATGATTGCAATATCAGTTCTTTATATTTACACAATGTAATGTATACAAGAATTCTTGATTCCATTTGTTATGGAACTTCTATCCCTAGATAATGGGACATAATTCCTAATTTCACTAATCATTAGATATAACTCCCTTATCCCTCTAATTATCTGATTAGAGTAATAATATGATTACATATCTCTGCTTATAACTAGACTTCGAAGGTTTACACTGTATTATTTGCTAATTCTTGAACCCTTAAGATTTCTCAACTAGTTTATCTTAGAGTGTTAAGGATTAAGGGCATCTCATAAGATAGTTTGAAATGAAACCTCAGTAGTTTAGAGAATATAAAAAAGGAGGTCTAGCACTAGAATTTGGCTGGGAGATGGATATCAGAGAAAAAGAGTTTTGGATGAATTCAGTCATGATGATGCATACTCAATACTCAAGCACAGAGGTGCAGAAACATTTCTTATTCAGACATTACTAGAACATGTAGCTATTAACACCACCATTTATCGGGATAATGAACTATCATAAATTGAGAGGTCATTACAGTTGCTATGGGTCCATAATTTATTATATATTGATGGCTAGGAGTTCATTTGTAATTATATATCTGCTGATAGGATTATTCAACAGTAATAGTCCAAGCTATTTCAGAAAGCAAACATCAAAAAATTAAGTTGTATAGTATTGAAATGCAACCTTGAGGTCATGGACAAACAAAACAAAAATAAAGCATGAAAAGCAGCAAAGCTCATAAAGGAAAGGTATGAGCAGAAATTATTGCAGTAGAAAGCCATCTGCTATACCAGCAATAGCAATAAAAGAAAATACACACAAAAATTGCAGCAAAAAAATTCTTGAGCATTTCGATTAGGAGGCTGTTCTTCTTCACCATCAAAATTAAATCCATCACTTTCAAAGTTGAAACTATGACCAATTGCATCCAATACCATAGTGCGATACGGATTTTTTGTTGTTATCTCAGGACCTATTTCTTTTTCTGTATTGCTACTAGGTTGAGGTCTAGAAATTGGTACAAAAGGCTCCCCATGTGATTCCCATTGATAATAGTTAGGCATGAAATCATGCTTGTACAGATGTGCTTTAACATCATGAGGTTCAAGAAACCCGCTAATGTTTCTACATCTTGAACATGGACACCTTATACTCCCATTAGAAACGAAGTCATGTTGCATTAATGCAAACTCTACAAATCCCTGCACACCCTCTAGAAACTCAGTAGTGACTCCTTTTCTACTAGGCACTAGTCTATTATACATCCATATACGATCAGCTCTAAAGAAACTCATGCTTCCTATCAAACAAACAATGACAAAATAGAAACACTATTTCAGTACTTTATAATATATTAATTATTTCACCAATTTAAGCAGATTGATAGCACTAAATCTGGAAGAGTAAAGAGAAGAGAACTAGTAGAGGTTGCCTCTGTTTTCTATTAAACACATGTTTGTAAGTGGAGTTTATTTATTTTAAAAAATATATCACTTCAGCTTTGTTAGCTAGTAAACTTACAAAGGGCACATAAACTTCTTTTTTCCCCCTATCATATATTAAAAGTATAAGATTATATTAATTTCATTCTTCTTCACTTATCATGTTGCCCTCTTTGGAAATAATTTTACTTGGTTAACCATAGGAACAATATATCAATTTAGATCCACTGACAATAAGAACATCTTATTTGTAATAAAGGAATCCACTATGCTAATACTCTTTCTGCTTTGACTTCATAATTGCCATCATAAAAAAATTAAGCAGCATGTGACTATTGATTCAGCTCGAAAGAATCACATGACCATAATATGTGAGGCCACAGTGGAAGACGGTATTCCAGTTACTTGCATAAAAGACTATCAAAAGCAACCCTTGCAGTTTACATCAATCAAAAAAGTCGCTACTCTACCTCAGTGTTGAGAATAAAATCATGGCATACACAATTTAAAAAAAGTATCGGATATACAGGTTATTTTTTTCTCAAACCCAGAAGTAGCTGTTCAACAAAAATATAAGGACAACAATTCAATAATCAACAGAAACAAATACATATACGTAGAAGCATCTTATATCACATTATTGAAAGTTCAATTCTATAATAAAATAGGAAACATGAATTGTTGGGGGAATTGCTCTCTGTTAGTTCATAGTTAATGCTAAATTAAACGACGACAAGAATTCGTGGTGCTAGGAAGGTATTGATCACTCACGATAAATTAAACACTCACAAAAAGATCTATTTGCAGAGATGCTTTAAGTACCGGAGAAATTCTTACCAGAAGCTTACAAGCGGCAGCGATAGCAAGTTGTCTCCCTTCACTGAATTAGAAGATGATAGTTGAGGGTTTAGAGGGATGAAGGGACGTGGAAGAGTGCGTGGATGTTTAGCGGTTTTTGAGGATTTGAGATACAAAGTTCTATTAAAAAAATATTGCTGAAGATTTTAAGCGCCAACCTTACAGATTTAAGAAAAAGGGTTGACTTGAGATTTAACTAGTATTATTTAATAAGGACTTATTTTTTTTTTTGGTAACTAAATATTTTTATTTATCACCAAAGGTCTTTACAAATCCGTAGCTTAACTATCACAGTTAGCTAGCCATTCAGTCATTCTCTGATGCAACTAGATTCTAAAAGTATTGACTATATCTCTAGTTTTTGCTACTGCTCTAATACTACAAATACATGCAATTTCTCTAGCTATTGATTCACTAGATCTATATATTTTCTCAAAAATTCTCATATTTCTCTCTATCCATATGCTATGAACATATTCTGTGTATATCATCTTCAATATTTGTGCAGTCCGAGTCTTTCCTTTAGCTCTTCTAATTGTCTCCTGTTGATGTTGCTGCTTATCACTTGTGTTCATTATCTTGCCATGAGTCCACTGATTCATTATGTGCCAGATATCTTTAGCAAAGTTGCATTCCCAGAAAAGATGCTTATGTGTTTCTGCTGCATTTCCACACATAACACATTGTGTATCAATTTCCATACCCCATTTTACTAACCTGTCAGTAGTTAGTAATCTGCCCTGAAGTTGTAACCATAGAGTGAATTTTGCTTTAGGACGAGCTGCATTGTTAAACATCATGTCCTTCCATGGCACTCTTGTTTCATCTCCAATCATCTGAATATATATCTGCTTTGTGATGCTTCTTTCTTGCTTGAATTTCCACTGTCTTCCTTCAAAGATTGTCCTGGCTTCCATAGTTTTTCTTGTCATCCAGCATGCTTGTTGTGGAATTGTCATTTTTTCTATTGCTTGGTCCTTGATATAATATGTATGGATCCATTTTATCCATAGTTTGTCTTTTTTCTGAGTAAGATCCCAAAAGTTCTTTGCAATAGCTGCTTTGTTCCATTTCTGTAGATTTGCTAACCCCAGACCTCCAATGCTCTTTGGTGCACATACTCTTTCCCATGATACTAGAGCTTTTTTGGTGATAGTATTGTATCCAGACCATATGTAACTACGACAGTAGGCATCAATTACTTTCAGGACTTTGGTGGGCAGTACAAAGATTTGAGCCCAATAAGCTTGGACTCCAAATAAAACGTCTGCACCAGTTGAACTCTTCCTCCATAGGATAACTTCTTTGCTGTCCATGCAGATATCTTTGCCACAATCTTCTCTATAAGTGGTTGCCATTGGACTAGAGATAGCTTCTTGGTGGATAATGGGACCCCTAGATATTTAAAAGGTAGTTCCCCTTCAACCAATCCCAGTTCTTGTAACATTCTGTCTCTATCTTCTCTCTTCACACCTCCAAAATAGATTGAGCTTTTTGCCAGATTTGCCTTGAGTCCTGAAGCAGCTGAGAACTGGTTGAAGCATTGTTGGACAGTGACTACTGATGATAAATCTCCTCTAGCAAAGAGTAACAGATCATCAGCAAAGCATAAGTGTGTGATTGCTAACTTTGAACATCTGGGATGGTAGTGGAACTCTGCCTTCTTTGTCATTTCTTTTAGACTCCTACTCAGGTACTCCATTGCTATAGCAAATAAGAATGGAGACATAGGATCTCCCTGTCTAAGACCTTTAGCAGCATTGAAAGGAATTGATGTCTCACCATTTATCAGAATAGTATAGCTTACTGTTTTCATACATTCAAGGATCCAATTGATAAATTGATTGGGGAATCCCAATTCTCCTAACACTTGTTCCAAATATATCCACTCCACTGAATCATAAGCTTTTTGGAGGTCTATTTTGATCATGCATCTTGGTGTGATGTGTTTCCTAGTATAAGCTTTCACAAGCTCATGAGCTAGAATAATGTTGTCTCCAATTTTCCTTCCAGGTATGAAACCTGCCTGTGATTCACTTATTATAGTAGCAATGACTTTTTGAATCCTTGCTGCTATAACCTTTGAGATCAATTTGTACAAAATAGTGCAGCAGGCTATTGGTCTATATTCCTTCACAGTTCTGGGATTGTCATTCTTTGGCAATAATGTGATAGCTGTACAGTTTATGGCTTTGTACATCCTCCCTGTTCTGAAAAACTCCAATACTGCAGCACAAACCTCTTCCTTGATGATCCCCCATGCTTTCTTGAAGAAGGTAGCATTATATCCATCTATCCCAGGAGCTTTATCTTCACCAATTGACTCAAGGCCTTGTTGGATTTCCTCTTCTGTCACTGGAGCTATCAGATCTAGTTTTTGTTGCTGATTCAGAACAGGTCCTCCTTTCATATTCAACTTGTTTATAGCTGGCAGTTCCTTTGCAGAGGATCCCATTAAGGATTTATAAAAATTTTACAATCTCTCCTGAATTTCCTNTATCCTCTGTGTTATGTTTCTGAACTCCTCATTATTCAATTGCTTGAATAATGGTTTTAATGCCTTCAACTTCATCCATACATCTTGCATCTTCCATCTTGACAGCTTTTGTTGCCATGTTTGCTTCACTATATGTTGAAACTTGCTATGATCTGCCCAAGTGTTGAAGAATCGGAATGGTATTTTTATGTCTCTCTGATTTGTCTGTAACTCAAACACCATTGGATTATGGTCTGAAATTAATGGAACATCATATTCCATCACTAAGTGCCCCCACTCCATCATCCATTCATGGTTGCCAAATGCCCTATCTAGTCTGCTATAGATTCTTTCCCTGCTTTGCTGTTTGTTACTCCAGGTATAGTAGTCCCCTGTCCATCTCACCTCATTAAGTAGGAGGTCATGAATGCAATCATTGAAGTCTTTAATCTCACCATATTGTACTGGATTCCCATTGAGCCTGTCTTGAGGATATAACACAGCATTAAAATCTCCAACAACTAACCATGGCATATTTATTCCTTGGGCCAGAGTTTTAAGCGTTTCCCATACCCTTTTCCTTTCCTCACATGTATTATAACCATAGATTACAGTTATAACACAAGTCTTCTTTGATGCTATTGTATTGACTTGACAATGAAGTAACTGAGCCTCTTCTTTCAATTTATTCACAGTATATAGTCTACTATACCATAATAGCCAAACTCTTCCATTTACTGCACTCCTGTAATTATTCAGAAATCCCCAGTTAGTTACCACATTAGTAGCCACATTTGTTGCATTATGCTCCTTGACTTTAGTTTCTATTATTCCAGCTAAAGTAATATGTTTAGGTTTTATATAATTTCTCAGTTCCTTCTGCTTATACTTCTTATTTACTCCCCTTATATTCCAAAACAGCCACTTCATTTGTTACAAACTGGTTCCTCCCCCTTTGTCAGGGGGTGCAGACTTTGATCCACCTTGAGCTCTGTTCAACACAGCAAAGACATTCTTAGTTGGCACTGAGCATAATATTGGAAACTCCTGTAGATTGAGTTCTGGAACCATGTTTTTCCCTTTATCAGGTGTTTCAATATCAGTCCTCTCCCTTTGTTTCTGCTCCTGAATCATAGCTGCTGCTTGTTTCTCTTCCATTTGTTTGTAATTGTCATCTGTTTCATTGCTTCTAACTTTTGTTCCAGCTACCTGATTGTCTCCATTTTTGTTGTCTTGCTGTTCCTTTGGTTGTTCTTTTGTCACCCATCTCTGCACTATTCTTTTGTGCCCATCCTGTTTAGCTGGTTGTTCATCATTCTTTCTTTGGTCCTTTGGACATTCATGACCAATAACTTGACATTTCTCACAAAATAATGGTTTCCAGTCATATAGAACAATCTGTGGAAATACTCTGCCCTTTGGATCTGTTACTTCAATTTGATCAGGTAATGGTTTTGTCACATTAACTTCCACTAGCATCCGAGCATATGACACTCGTTTTTGCTTGGCAGTGCATTCATCTGCATACATTGGTATCCCAATAGCACTTGATATCCTACTTAGTGAATTTATCCCCCAACAATTCATAGGCAATTTTGGCAGCTTGATCCATATTGGTATCTCAGTAGGAAATTAATTATCAAAATCAAATTCCGGAGTCCATGGCTTCAGAATGATTGGTCTGCTATTGATAGTATATGGTCCTGAGCATAGGATTTCTTTCATATCATCAACTGATTGGAATTTGATGATGAAATAACCCTCCTCATGCATGAACAACTCTGGGCTTGCAATTTTGTTCCACTTTAGATCTATATATCTGCTCATTGCATTATACCCAGGGCAATCCCCAATTACATAAGCAATTAAGGCTCCTTTCCATTTTTCAGTCTCCCGTTCTACTTCCTCTTTCTCCAATTGAACAACTACTTTGCCATCTACTAATTGAGGAGCAATATAAGATAAGGCCATACCGTTTTCTACAGATCTGTTGTTCACAAATAGATTCACCCATTTTTGAGTTGGTTGTTGTACTGTAGCTTGTATCGCTGTTCCATTGGGTTCCTGAGCTTGCACTTCCTCGATTTGCTTCGGTTCTACTCTAACTGCTTCTTCCACTTCTTTCAACTTCAATTGTGCCGGATCTGGGCTCAATTGAAGTTTTTTTGCAACTGTTACTCCATTAGACGACGATCCTACCTCATTTTGCATCAGCTCACTCATTTGCACAGGTGTTACTTGATTTAGTTCTACTTCTGTATTTTCCGATTGTCACTCATTTGCACAGGACTTATTTTGAATTGCTATAAATTAGCTACACCTTTAGCTAGCTACTGGATTCTTTTACGATAATTATTATTTTAATTATACATAGAAAATTTATTTTAAATATGTGGGTTGTGGCCACACCAATTTTGATAAATATACATATATAAACATTCGTAATTAATAGATTGGCACCAAAACATCCTTAGCTACTTTTTAGCTAGAGATTAGCAACAAAATATATTCCTAGCTAAAAGATAAAGTTCGGAAAAAATAATTAGCGCCAAAATAGAATTCCCTCTAAAATTTAGCTATGGATTAGCTAGGAGACTTTCCTTGCTAACATATAGCTAGGAATTTGCTACGGACGGTGTCCCTATCTAATCTATGATCTTTTGAAAAAATAAATTTAGCGCCAAATTAGTATTCCCGCTAAAAATTAGCTATAGATTGGCTTGGGAAAATCTCTAGCTATATTTTAGCAAGAAATAGTCCCTAGCTAATTCCTATCTATATTATGACTAGATTCTCAATCGAAAATATTTGCAAGAAAATGTGACTCTTCTAGCTAAATCCCTAGCTAAAGGTGTATATTAGCTAGGGATATGTGTATCCAAGCTAAATTCCATAGCTAATGTCCTGTTCTCTTGTAGTGACTGTCTCACTTTTATAACTTTGGTTGTCCAGGGATGTGGCCATTTATTTCATAGACATATAAATATTTCTTCAGTACATTCTAATATTCTATTATTAAGAAATGTGTTGTGCGATTAGCTTTTATGTTAACAAATTTCAATTCTTTAAAAGATGATAGTACCTTTTTCTACACTTTTGGATCTATTTTCATATGAAAAGTATCAAAACTCTTTCATAGTTATGTTCAAGCAAAACCTTAACATGTATATAAAAGCTTTAGCTGATAATCTTGTTTGAAAATCACTAAATTCAAACTCGTAGCATGAAAACTCGATTTGAAATTGTAATATTGAAGATCTGAAGTCCAAGCAAGGAAATGCAACATAAATTGGTTATGTAATCTTCTACATTTTCAATTTATGTGATTTAAGTGATGAGAATATTTTGTATGTCACTTTCACGTTACCATACAGATATATTAGTAAATAAAGAATTAATCTAAATAGTTGTATACCTAACCGTTTAAATTAAAAATAGTTGGCAGATATAATATATACAATTCACGTATAATATGTGTACAACTATGTATAATCAATATATAATTTATGTGTACCGACCAAAAAAGTAAACATTAAATCTAATCGGATGTTTTGTGTAAAGATCCCTTTCTAAATTGAGGCTTTCAAGAAATCTTGAATTGGTGATCAAGTAATTAACAACACATACTCAGTGTAATTTCACGAGTGAGATCTGGGGATGATGATAGTCTATATACATATCTTATCCAAACCTCATAAACATACCGAAAATATTTCAAAATAGTTTTGAAAAAGAAAATGGTGATTGGTGATAATTAAGATGAAGAAGGACTAGCTTGTAAAGTTGCAATATTGGGCCAAAATCTGAGGGTAAAATGACAATGTATAGCCACTCTCAAAATAATAGCCGAAAAAATATAAAATTAATACAATATTTTGTATATATACTGTATGTTATATACAAAAATTAATTATATACACTTTTTCGGCTATCAAATGTAAATAGTTTCTGACACGGGCTAAAAATGAAAAAAAATACAAATATGAGACCACAATCATTTGGGCTAAAGCTATAGTGATAAATGATGGGAAATTTTCATAAATCACTATCTTTTAGTAGTAATTAGCCATCTATAGATACAATTTGCTATATTACGGATTATAGATACCTTTTCTGTAGTTATAAGATGTATTTGATGTATTTAAGCTATTGTATTCATGAATACAGTAGCAAAAATAGGCGTGAATCAGGGAAGTCCAGCTAATCTGTTGTTGTATTCGAGTGTATTCGACTGTATTCATCGCGTGAAACACGGAATTACAGCCGGACAGATTACTGTATTCGACTGTATTCACGGCGTGACACAGGGGATTACACTGTTTTTAAATGGAAAGTGTATCAATTAACATAATAGACTCCTAATATAACTCAACAAACTCAATTATAACACACAAAATTTGTATTTCCGGTTATAAAAAAGATTCTCACTGAAAAATACCCCAAAAACATAGCAATCCTCAGAGAAATTATATAATACATCTGAATACATAAATTATATTAATTAAAAAAACATATGAATACATTCATGGCATATAGCGAGACAGTGAATACAATGAAATACATAGAATACAACGGGATACATTGAAAAACAATAAAAAAAAGACAATGAATACAGTGAAATACACGGAATACAGCGAGATACATTGAATTATAATGGAAAAAAAGACAATGAATACAATGAAATACATGAAAATACAACGTTACGTTGAAAAATACATTGAAATATATTAACAGAAAATCAAGTTGCTCAGCCCCAAACTCCGTCGTCTTTGCTCAAGAACAAACCCTAATTTCCACTTTGTAGCCAAATAGTCCTTCCATCTTCAAAGATCTTGCAGAACGCTAATTGAACCGGAACTTATAGAATATTAAATCGAAACTTAATTGGTTTCTTGTCTAGTTATCCGTATGGAATGAAATTCAGGCATCAATGAAAGATAAATATGTGATGAAGCCAAGCACTGTAAACTTGGTGAGATTGGGTCTTCAGCGACGGAATACAACGAGATAATCACCAACGATTTTGTGGATTTGCTTCGGCATGATTGGGTCTTCGGGTTAGGGTTTGTTGTTGCTGTGCTGCTGGTCGCTGGATTTTTCAGTTGAGAAGATGCCGTTAGAAGGAGGAGGAGAGCGAAAATTTTAATGGGACGGGGGAAGAGAATGGGATGTATCAAAGTAGAGAGAGAAAGAAAATAATATAACTGAATAGGTATTTAGTGACTTAGGGCTAGGAGGTAACCAAAATTAAATATTTTGCTATAAACCTTAAAAGGTATCTATAGAATATAATTTTTTTAAATTGTATTTATTTAAAATAAATAAGGTGTTAACCTTTGTTACAGGAGGTAAGAAATTCAAAAATAGCCAGATTTACCACTGGTCGTTGAAAAATAGCCAAGTTTCAAAAGTCATCGAAATTTAGCCACTTTAAATCTGAGCGAAAACACTGTTCAAAATCCGGAAAAATACGCCCGCAAATTTTACGGGAGTTCCAGCATAAGTATGCTTGATTTTACGGGAGTTCCAGGATAACTATGCTGGAACTCCCGCAAATTTTACGGGAGTTCAAGCATAAATATGCTGGAACTCCCGCAAATTTTACGGGAGTTCCAGCAAGTATAATTGTCCATTATAATATACTGGAGTTTGGAGCACTGGTGCTCCAGTCTCCCGCAAATTTTACAGGAGTTAGCAAAGTATACCGGTCCAGCATAATATGCTGTAGTTCGTACACAAATGCACCAGAACTCCCGTATATTATACTGGACCGGTCCCTATTGCAGCAAAATAGTGGCTATTTTTCATTGACTTATAAACGCTGGCTATTTTTCATTGATCAGTGTGAAAACTGGCTATACCATGATATTATTACAAAAATTCCATTAAGGATCCAACAAAACCTTCCCCAACTAAGCCCAATGCAACCT